GGGGGGGGGGGACATACACGATCGCAGCGAGGACCGGCGCTGACCGTGACATCGCTCTTGGTAAAGTGGCCGAAAAATGCCGATGCGGATAAGGCAAGGCGATAAATGAACGGTCGACGCTTGGTGTCTGCTTGTGATAAATCGCCGGGGCCGGCATAAGTCGGTAAGTGGCCCTTTATCGTGTATATTTAAATTAAAACGGGTGAACAACCAAAGGGCGTGCTCGCGCCGCTCGATGGTGTGACTGATGATGAGCCGGCACGCCGGTTTTCAGGCTGCGCTGAACGACGGACGTCGGTGCTCGTCGCACGCCTTCCGACCCGAGTGGTTGCTTTTTTCGTGAAGATGGCGCGTGACATACGTCAAATAATATAATATTGTATAACACCTGTTATACAATAACAAGTCAGATGTCGGAATAGGATATCGGAGTCGTAATCGACGGTCCAATAAGAGAATTGATTTTTCGAAAGCGAGTTCTCCTTAGCTCACACGCCGACGGTGACGTATGACGTATTGTGCAACAGGTCTAGCACAGGCTTTTAGATTCTCATAGCATGCAAAAAAAGCGTAAGCAGTGAGACTTAAACGGTTAAGATTGGCCAGTCACGGTCGATTATTTCCCGATTGTAGAGAAGAACGGCCGTGACTGGTCAGTTTTCTTACTTCAATTTTTACAAATCTTACCTACTTATCTAATGCTTAGGCTCTTCAGGGCACCATGAACCTTAAACTAGACTTTCGTGCAGTTTAGACATGGTGATTACGGATGTGTGAACTAGTGCATCGTCCTGGTGAAGAGGCAAACAAAACTAAGCGTCGCTTGGCTGAAAATTTGGCAGCCATATTAAAAAGATGCAGTTTTCCCGTCTTGCAACAGTTCTCGACTAGTAACGCCATCTTCACGTTCCGGCTTGAAGGTTATTAAACAACCTACGTAAAGTCGATAAGACTCAATGTTACAGCGCGTCGTATAAACAGTCAAGATACAAAATAAACCATATGTCCGACAAAAAGATGATGATATCTACTTCTACTTTTTCATACGTATTACATATATCTCATATGTTTATTTAACGTAGATATTTCCGATATAAACTGATATAATAACAACTAACACAATTATACTAAATTTTTATAAAATTGCTTTTTAATATCACGAAAAATACATACAAAATTTATTATTTTATAATAAATATATATATAGTTTATTTTGTTTTTTCTTTTTATAATATAATAACGTCCAAATAATATTTTATTGTTTACATTCAATGTCTCCATAAATAGCTTATAAAATTCCTATTTCAGTTATTAAATGAATATATAGGTAACGTGGCAGCCTAACAAAGAATATTTGGAAAATTATTTCTTACCGAATTATGTAAAAATATGATCCAAAAATCATACAACTTTTTAATTTTTGATATTTTAAACTAAAAATTTAAGATTTAGGATATCTTACATTTCAGTCCTCAATCCGGGTCATGGCGATCTTGGTGTAACACTCCAGAGTTAAAGGCACGTTCTATTTTTCCATGGTTAATCGCTGTCTAACAAGGCCTATGTAAATATAAGTTTTGAATAAACTTCCATATTAATTGTCCGGCAACAATCATTATTTCTACAGCGAGAAACATGTTATAAAAAATACTGCAATACTGAAGTATAGTACGCTCAATGATTTATCCCGTATTAATTAACGCAAATATATTTTATATTAATATATTGATATATTAAGTTATATCAATATTAATTTCAAAGTAACATATTAATATCAATTTAATTGATTACCAATTAATTTCATTTTGTATTGCATTCGCGAATTTTGCGCGGCCATTGTAAAACACTTCGACAAGCTTATATATCTTCAGGATCGACATCTATGTCCAAATTTTCCGCTTCTCTTACAATACTGAAATGTATCGGTCCTGGCTTTTCTAGAAACTTGTAAATATCAGCCGAAGACTTCACCGGTTCATTGTTAGCAAACGTGATTATGTCTCCGGGTTGTATCCCAGCACTGCAATAAGCCGCAAGACCAATGAAATCATTCGCGGAGAAAAAGCAGCGCTTATACTTACCGCTGTTTTTTAATATTTCAATCTCCACTTACTTGTCAGCCGGCGATCCACTTATCACTCTCCACACGAGGACCCCGTGCTTTACCAACAAGTATTTGCCATTCTGTTGTATCTCAAGCAAGATGTCGGGCAGCAAGGATTGCATTGTGACACCTATGTATCTTCTACGCGCTTCCTGTCGTATGCCTGCGAAAAGAAAATAACAACAATCGATATCCTCATCGTATCACATTGACGGAATAAAATAGCAGCCCGCTTCGTTACCTTTGTCCTTTCTTTTCGCTTCCGTCTTCTTCAAAAATTCTTTCGCATAGTCTATAGGTATGGCGAACGATATGCCGACCGTCACTTTCATCGCGTTGATACCAATCGCTTCCCCATTCAGATTCACCAGCGGACCACCTGAATTCCCAAACTGAAGAAAGATGTTTTTGTTTTAACAATGTGACGTTTGATTGTAGCATTTAACGTTCGTTACTCGATGAGAACTAATACTAACAGTAATCGCCGCGTCCGTTTGGATGTATCCCATTTGTTTATTGTGCAGACCGATTTCCTTACTTTGTCTATTTACACTGCTCACTATTCCGCTCGTTATAGTGTTGCTGAGAGCCAGCGGGGAACCAATGGCCACTACAAACTCTCCTGGCCTGATGTTGGCCGAGCTGCCGAGCTTCATCACAGGTAAATTAGTCTGCAAAATTAAATTAAGCAAATAACATAATAGATATCTCGATCGGCAAACCTCGTATATAAATTAGTGTGATAAAATTACCTTCTTTATCCGTACAGTAGCAAGATCGCTATGCATATCGACATCTTCTATCACTCCAATGTGCATACTACCATCATGAAGTCTTACCTGTATAAAGAAACAACAATATGAAAAATAAGGATAGTCCTAAGTGAGAGTAACAAGATAACTGTCTAGTAAATTTCAGCAGACAGGGAAATGCTGGAGAAGGACAAGAACTCTCAGGAGACTTACATTTACCTGCACTATTGCATTCGGCTTGTTTATTACAACATGAGCGTTCGTCAGTATTAAGCCATCCTGCCTAATGATGAATCCTGATCCATTGCCTACAGTAATTGGTTTCCCTGTGAACACATCTAACCTACATAAAAAATAAGCAACAGTTAATAGTCGTCTCTACGTTGCAGAATAATATTTTACACATACTGATGTTCTAAGGCTGCAAGCTTATTGCAAAATGCATATTTTTTGCTCAATCTTGCATTAATGGATACAACAGCTTAAATAATATTTATCAAATATTGAAGCAGCAATGTAGAAGAAAATTAAGAAGCAAAGTTCAAGCAAAGTTCAGTTTACCGCAATTTATTGCCATATGACAAACATACAATGCAATGCTTGTAAAAATGTGAAACTTTAAAAATATTTTTTAAGAATATGTTTGAAGAAGAGTTAATAAACAAAATAACTTGGATAAACTAGTCGTGAAACAGGATATGAATATACTTATATATTGTATTCAATATATTGTATTCAATATTTCAATATTCAAAAAGTTCCATTTTATAATCTCTCAATAACACAAGCATCATTCTACCTTGGTTTCTTGCTGGATGTTAAGATAAAATGATGCAAGAGTTGCTGCGAGCGTTAAGTGGAACATGCTCTTGATTATTCAAGTTACCGAGCCCATTAACGCACGATTTAGCAAACGATATAATCTGCATTATTTTGCAATAGGCATGCAACATCTCAGAACACCAATGTCGTATATTTAGTTCGCAACTAAGAGCAGGCCTTTATTCCTTTACCTCTTCTTATCTTTAACCTCGATGTACACTACGGACGGCGCAGATATCTCCACTACGTCTGCTATGAAATTATATTTGTTCCTGTTGTCACCGTTGCCGGGTGGCGAGATGGCCTGGGAAACGAGATAATTGCAAATGCCGAGACGCTTGATTCTCTCCCGTGCATCATCTTTCCACTTGTACGCAGCGTAACAAAAACCAGAGGCGAGCGCGGTATAAGTCAGCAGATCCTTCGCTCTCTTCCCGTGAACTTTTTGCTTCTGTTGCGAATGGAACGGTCGAATCTGCGCGTGTCGTTCCGCGAGTACCGTCACCGTATACGGCGATAAACCCGCGCGTCTTTTCGCTAACCACGTCCGTAATCGTGACCAAGGAACGGCCATTTCGAACCGCCAAAACGCATCCTCAATATTTGGCCGTATTGATTTCTGTCCATAGGACGCAACGGCGCTTGCGCCACGCGGTGGAAGTTTCGCGCGGTAACCAATCAACGTGCCGTTTTTCGGTAAGAACTACAAGTTGATTGGCTACCGTGTCCTATGGGTAGAAGCTAATAGGCACTCGCCGCACCAAATCGCTCGGGCAGCATCGACAGTTTCCGCCGAACCTCGTTCGATCACGTAGAAGCCTGTTTAAACATTTGAATGTCGACCGGACTTACCAATAGGCGCGAAGTAAGGGAACTCGGCAGAAATAAGTGCAAAAGTACATTACGTCTCGTGCGAATCTTTATCAAATATATTGTCGTTAATGTATTGTTAAGATATATCGTGAATATTTACCAAAGATAATTGTTTATAAATGTGCTAAAAGTAATGTGTGGAAGAATCGCGATTGCCAAAATGCCGATTAGCGATTCGCTGGAGAAATGCTTTCGAATATATTCGCGATACATTTGAATTGTTGGTATCTCTGGTCATGTGGTACCCCTTCCTTCTTCTTCCGTCGGACGATCGGTTTGGAACGGACAGGTACGCGTTAGATAATAATTGGCATGTTTTCCATACTAATGGTCCCATTCGTTGATTGATTCCATCGAAATTATCAATTAGAATTGACGAAAAGAAACAAATTGAAGGCAAGAGCCGAACAGAATTGACAAAAGAAACAAATTGACGGCAAGTAAGAGCTGAACGTTGTAACAAACGTTTCGATCTATGAGCTTAGTAACGTCTTCTTTCCTTATTAAATATCATATTGCTCTGATAACGTTTGGCTCTTATTTCTAATTATTTTATCTTGATTGTGTATCTTTGCATGTTATGTATGAAATAACCTGGTTGATAGACATTGATATTGAAGATTCGATGACACGTTTATTTGTTGGAAATTTATCAGCACAGTATAAGATTCGACATGTCGGCGTCATTTCGTCGAGACAAAATTGAACAAAACTTGATATCGTACTTATGTGATAAATACATACATACGTACATACGCTTTTATTATTCGTCGTTAGCACAACATTGTTGTATTTTTTTAAATGTAATTTGAGACATTGAGATGATTGGATATATAAGCGCGATAATTATGAAATTAATTAATTATATTACTGAAGTATCTCGTGGGAGACTTCGTTGCTCGACAGTATCACATTCAGATCCGTGTCCATTTTGCGATCATTGCCAACGACATCGGAAATTCTGCACGACGTGTCCATATGGCAGGATTCTAAAACAAAATAATATATCTTCATTATAATACAGTAGTAGGATATTACAATTTTTTTGTATTTCACGATTTCATCAACGAACAATAGCTTATTTCCGTATTCTCTGACTGTAAATTAACGTTCTAATGATAAAGTAGGATCAGATTGACTTCACATCTTCATTTATTTTACAACGTGTTCGCACAGTTTCTCTTCTTAAAGAATGTTTCATGTTATTATTTATTTCTGTTACTCATTTTATATATTTTCTTTCACCCATGTTGATTACATGAAAAATTAACAAAACAGCATGAAATCGAATCCGACCCCACCTTCCTGAATACGTTCAAAATCCATCTTGCCATTAGAGGGTTAATTATTTCCATTACAAATATATAATTGATATAACAATTATATTTGTGAGCTTCTATACTATATATACATATATATATATATAAAAGATTCAAATTCGCACAAGCCGTTTTTATTCAAAAGACAGTAGAGGGCCTTAGCGAACGACAATAGCTGCATTCAGCAGAAAAAGTAGCTAGTAAGCGCTTTCTTCTGCGCTTTGCAGCTGTTGTAAGACGTTCTACTGAACGGCACCTAGCAATTTGTACTGCCCCAATATTTTTCTAACTATTACAATATAAATTTAGCTAACAAGATTTTTCTCTTATTTAATCATAAAATTTGATTAAATTCTGTCTGGAAAACGAGATTTTCAAGGTTCACTTTTAACCCTTTCGCGGCGGAGTGCTCTGGAAAGAGTTGCGCTCTAAGCAGCCGATGCCAGATCGACCGCGCGGACCAAATACGCGAGTCGTTCCGAACGCAGTGTGTATATAATATTTGACTATGTAAAAAAAACCTTTGCACAAGAAGCGTATGCTGCTAGCACGTCAAAAACAACTTAATGGACATTAATGGCAGTTGTTGATAACAAACGAACAGCGCCTTCGTACGAAGAGAGCGGCTCCGGATGGGCGCCATCTGGCGCTGTTCGTTCACCGCGGGTAAATTTGCCTGAGCGCCGAACGGCGCTGTTCGCTGAGAATGAGCATCTATAGCTGAGCGCCTAAAGGCGCTGTTCGCCGCGAAAGGGTTAAATGTTCACATATTTATATTCACCTTGTGAGCAACAAATCCCATTCGTGGCGCATCTGGCTGTATTTCCACGACACATTGCGTATCCTGCAATGCAGGGCCTAGCATATAGACTTTCCTTCCTGCACCGGTATGTTTCTGGTGTTCCTATGAAGCATCCAATACTGGGACCACAGCAAATGTGAGGTCCAAAGCATTGACCCAGATGGTTAGGACCGCACAGAGGACACTGGATTTATAGAATATTATGACGGTCGAATTATAAAATTATAAAACATATAATATCGCACATTACAATACACATTGATACAAAAGTCATGAAAATATCGGTTAGACAAGCAATGATATTGACTCGAATGAATGATCAGAAATTCCGCCGTAATTATATTTTTTTTAACATCACGAATTTTATCAATTTTCTGTAAATTCTTCTTAACAAGATAACACAAAGATTTTAATCATAGATGAAGTAAGCGATTTGGAATACATTACTTACTTCTCGAGTGACAACTCCCAGAGAAGGCGCGATGTCGCCCCTTTTCCCACCGTGGGGGCAATTCGTAATTAGACAAGCGTAACTTAGGAAAATGAGACTAGCGAGAACGACGAGCTCCCTCAGCATTTTGAACGAGATCCGTTGATCTTGCACGAGATAACGTGTCGGACGACGATCGGAAAGACACTGTACCTCGTGGAGCCGCGTCGGTTTATTTATATCAACGAATCCTCAATATTTAAGATTCCCGTTGAGCATTCGGCTGGACTCCCATTCACAGTACAGCACTCTAAAGATTATGGAAATTTGATCTCCGTGCGAGAATAATAAAAACGCTGTAAGAATTGCTCATAAGAATTGCTTGCCACGGAAGCTAGCAGCTTTCTTTTCTAGATCTTTCAGCTGAATATGGTTTAAAACATCACAAACAAAAGATAAAAATAATTTGTAAATACAATGTTCATTGTTCATAATACAAATTACACACATTTATACCAATCTCCTTGTTATTTTATCGACCGCTTTTTATCCCTGAGATTCTTATTTTTTCCTACTTTTGACGTTTTATTTTGATTAATCACGAGAGTCTTCCGCTTAGAAGTCTTTTTTGAATCTTGAACTTTGGTCTTCTTAACTAAGGACGTTTTTAATTCACTCTCCGCTTTGCGTTTCTTCACTATTTTGCCTTTTCTCACGTCTCCTTTAACTGCAATCTCCGCGGACGATAAATTTGAACATTCTCTCCCAGTATGACCTGCAATAGAATATTAATGAAAGGAATAACTGGAAATGAAGTGCAAGAGCTGTGCGTAAGATAAACATGAATATTCACCCAGTTCGTTGCATTTGAAGCATCTTCCAACGATACTCGGTACTTGACCACATGTATGTTTCTGCAACAAACATCTCTGGCACGTTTTACAATGCTTCCAAGTAGGCTTCACGCATCGCTTGCATAATTTACAATGCTTGTACGTTCTACCATGCTTGGAGGTGCATTCCTTGCAACTTTTACAATGCTTGTTCTCGCCGGAGACCCATTTCTCACAGTCCTTGCAAAATCTGTACCCGTCTGACGCAGGAAGTTCCAGCAGCTTCAACGGTATATTCGTGAAGATCCTCACGGTAGAGCCTTGTTTTCTGCCATGTTCTCCCGACACAAATAATGGGTGATTGTCGTAATCGACTTTATAATCGGACATCTTCAAGTCTTTCAAACCACCGGCCACCGATGGTGGATTACTTTTTTCTCTCATGATATGCTCCATAAAATATGGAAACATAAACATGACTTTCAGAGAGAAATCATCGCTATTATTATCATTTAATTTCTTGTGTAGGTCAGATATCGTTTTTATTGTACACGACATAGGTTCCACGCGTCCTCCAAACGGGGGATCGCATATCAAGTAAGTGTCTTTCCCTTTATTTTGAGTGAGAAAATCTTTGAACACATTAATTGCATCTTTGTTAAAAAAGTGATGATTGAAAAGATTATACCAACAGTAATCCAGTGGTCCAAAGAAGTTGTGCTAAAATTATTGAAAAATATATCTGCCTAAACTATTATAAGCTATTGAAATATATTCTGCAATTTGCTACGCAGTATAATCGAAAAGCTTTCTCTAAAAATACTTACAAATCTCCCATCTAAATCTAAAAGGAGGGAAGATATTTTGTCTGTATGGTATTCAGATATGTATTCATGTATTCTTGGCGTTCCGACACAAAGGACCTGCTTAGCTCCGAGCTTTAAAAGCATGCTTACTATGTCCTTGGTAGACTTCTCGGAGAATAAATATTGAGCCTCCTTCTTTACATTATTCAAAGGTTTCAGGAGCTCTGTTGGATTATTCATTTGGCGATCTGTTAAATTCTCCGTTACTCGGTGGTCATTGTGTTTATCTTTCTCAGAGATGAGAATTAGTTTCTCACAATCGTGACAATAGCACCTTTTCGCCACGGATTGTGCTTTGATCTCGTTCAAACGTATGAACAATTTCTGATGATGATAACGTTGCTCAAACTTCCTTCTCTCTTGCTGCCATCTGTTCTTTTGAGACTTTGACAGTTCTCGCCCATACGATAAATGGAATGTGCATAATTTTCTGTTGCGACAAGCAGAACACGCGTAAAATTTCTCTAATTCACCATTGACGTATCTACCAAATAGCAATGTTGGTCCTGCAGACAAGAGGTTAATTGTCTCGAAGTAAAGATTTTTGACATAGAACCGATCAATTTGAATGCGTTACAGGTATGAAAATTACCGTGCGGGCATTGCGGATGCTTTTTGAGGTCTCCCCAAAAACATTCCACACCATGTGCAACGTTCATCCCGTCTTATTTTGCCGCGTAAACAATGCAGCTGGTAAGTCCTCATTGATACATCGATATCGAAGTCCATTTTCCGGGTTTTACTACAGACGACAAACGCGCTAACTCTTATTTTCCGAACCACACGGTTGGCGCTAAATATGAAATCTAAATGTCGAAAGTTTAAAATGTCGTGTTTCAGATTAATTAAACGCAAACAAGCAAAGAACATTTCAACAGTTTTAAACCCAACAAACGGGGAAATTTGAGGGGGAATTTTGTGGGGTTGTAAAAATTAAATTCACAAGTCAAATATGTTTTATTGTTATTTGTTCTACAAGTGCACACATTGTCAATGCTTGCTGTCCGGCATATACTCGAGTTTTCTTTTATTACAATCTCATGAGAACACAATAGCAACGTACACGTGTATATTAAACCTCTACAGCTTCTACATACAATTCTTCCGATGTGCAAGTTTTCATCCTGCAAAGAAAATAGGTGTGAGTCAGAGAACGATTAACTTCGAACTTTTACCGCTAAAACGTATAGATAAAAAATGTTTTCCTATCACATGAATGAATAAGAACGATTTTTTAACTCGTAAATTAATATTTGCCTTCGATATAATAAACGACCTTCGATTTCTTCGATTAGAGCGCCTTCTTCTGTGGGTTCTTTCATTCACTTACGTCTCGTAGGACATTCAATGTTACAGCTAAAAATGCGTCAATACACATCGTACAGGTTACGATAAATAAATTTCCCTTGAATCTTACATCGTCACTCATTGAGAATGTACATTAAGCAGAGTTCAAATTCAACGTTATGCTTCCAGATATAAATTTTCTTTCCCTCCTTTTCAATAGCAATAATAAAACATCGAGCGAACGATAAATTTGCATAAACCAAAAGGCAAAATAAGAGTCTCCCGAGGGGGGAATACGTAAATACCGAAATACAACCTAATTGTATTCTTACCCTAAAGCGTCCTAAAGCGTCTTTCAGACGTGCACACACGGATTTTCCGATCTATCGTAACCGCCAGACCGGCGCGTGTGGCATTCCGCAAGATAGTATCACAGACTATTGTTTACGCGGTAAAAAGAAGAGCACTCGCTAAAAACGCTACAGCTTAGGATCGCCATAATATTGACGCTATCCCCCGAAACGTTCGCGGGAGAAACGGAAACCGTCGGAATGAGATATATAATTATTTACACGATCGGCCAATGAGAAGCCTATGTATATAGTCTATGCTGTGGCTCGACCACGGCGAATGCGAGATTTACGCGATTACGTGTCTCTCGTGCCTAATTCTCGCCTGGTGTCGGCGATCACGCAGGGAGGAGAGAGCACATCATGCGGCGTTTCGTTAGGTGGCATATTATAATAATATTCATGTAATACTGAACGTTCACTGGCTCTCGAGATAATTCTGCGACTTGTAACAACTTATTAAAGCTTATCTAAAATTATATAACGCTAACGTAAACGCGCGATAGCAAACACGCGAATTCGCTACTCGCGGCTCTGCGCGTATAAATCAACTATACACCGTCTTGTACGCACTCACTCGGATTTATATAACTTGTACGATTGGATCGTATCGAGATTCTCAACTGCTCTATTTGCGAGTTGTTGTTCTCTCTGCTTTGGAAAGTAATCATCAAATGATCTCCGCGTTATTTCAAAGAATAAACACATCTTGAGAAAACTAACAAGCACGATAGTTACATTTATCTTTGTTCCGGTAAATCGTGTATACTTTAAATATATTCTCATCTCTCTCTCTCTCCCTCTCACTAACTTCATCATATATATATTTCACTAAACTATATTTAAATAATCTCTGTATTTACATAATTGACTACGAAGCTTCGTTCTTCGACTCCCTGTACAAATAAACCGTCCCAACTGCGTTTCTCTCTCAAGCTATTTGAATGTTTAATATAAAAATTTACCTACTCACGCGCGTATCAATCAAAAGGGTAAAAGAAAGAAATGTCTTTCTCTCTCTCTCCCTCTCTTTTTCTCGGAAACGAAAGAATTTTATCGTGCAATAAGAATACGAGATATTCATCGGATACTAAGAGAATAAAAGAGACTCGCGTATTATTTTTTTTAATTCGCATCAATAGCATTTGACAGGCTAATTTCATGAAAAAACATTGTAAAAGTATGCCAGAAAACTTCAGCGGGTATATAGTAAACTTGATAATAATAGACGCTGTCGAGAAAATAGCACTGACAGCTGATACGATTTCCTAGCGATAAAAAATTGTGCAACCGTTGGATCGTCAAATCAATTGATTGTAGGTAAATATTGACCGTATTGTACTTTGCGTCGGTAATTTGTTCGTCCCGTCGGTCTCGCGATACGTCGTAACACGTGTAGAAATCCCCAGGTAGCCAAGTAACACCGAAGGACAGTATATCGACGGCAATATAACATCTATGCCGTCCCCCACCGCTCATTCTGGGTCTACCTGGATTGCCTCAATTATTCCCACGGCGATTAGTTCCGTATGTTTCACATCGCAATGCAACGCTACATTCGGTGAGGTGTGTGTGTAAAATATGAAATAGGTGCAGTGAGATCGATTCGCTACAAGGTTCCCTACAAACTCCGATCGAAATTGTCTTCTCTCTCTCTCTCTCTCTCTCTCTCTCTACTGCCTACTGACTACACACAGTGACATTTTTTCGTCGTATTAAATCGCGCGCGATCTACGCAAGTAATAAAACGGTCTATGATACACACACACACACACACACGCACACACACACACACACAATCTCTCTGAATATTTTATTCCTTTTCGTTTCGAGAAAGAGCACGCGCAAATAGCGATTGCGTTGCTGCCGAATGAAATCCGCGGAATTGCCCTCCAGGGATACACACAGCAGAGTACGCGCGGTAAGCGCCGACAAGCGCCGGATAATTGATATTTAACGAGTCGCGTTTCAAGGGGGGGGGGGGATGAGAGAAAGCCGAATGTCGCTCGAACTGTCATCGATCTGCTTTACAAAGCGATGAGTCTGGTCTGGCAGGCGGTCCATCTCTCTTGGAGTTTGTGGCGCTCCTCCATATGGTGTTCCGACAGATTTCGCAGCAGGCCGACGTTGCCTGATTTGAGCTTCCTGGGGTCCAGGTTAGCCCCTAACGTCTGAACACCTTTGGCGAGCTTCGAGAACGGCGAGAGGATGTCCTTGGCCGTCGACGCCACCGGGCTGGTAACGTTCGCAATGTTCTCCCTGATGGACTTGATGGCGGACTCGCTCTGGGACGACGTGATGTTCAACGTCAGGTCCTGCTCGGACGCCGACCTCTTCTTCTCGTCCAGCCTACTGTTGTCTGTCTGCAGGGTGGCGCTCTTGGCGCCGATCGACAACGCCTTGTTGTCGACCTCGCCCGTCGAATGGCTGATGTTCCTGGAGAGCGTCAGAGTCGACGGCGGGATCATCCGGTCCTCGCCCAACGTCTCCCCCGCGTCATACACCGTGATCTCGGGCGTGGTTTTCTGCGGCGATGCGCTGAGAGTGCTCGTACCGGACTGCCCGCCGGAGGTCTGCGGTATCAAAAGCAGCGCGTCGATCGCCATGTCGGGCTTCACGTCGAGATTCACGTCGCGCCTCATCGCGGCCAATTCCGCGTTCCCGTCGCAGACCTCACCGTCCACCACGCTGCCCTTCACGCCCATGATAATGCCGATGGACGGGGTGTAGGCTTCCATCAGATGCTTGTCGTGGCTGAAACTCATCGGCTTCTCCGTGTGGATGCGCGTCATCTTAATATTTTCTTCTTCTTCTTCGTCGTCGTCGTCGTCGTCGCTGCTGTTGCTATCGTTGCTCTTCTCCTTCACGTTACCCGAGATGTCTCGGTCACCCACGGTGAAAATCGGCCTCGACAGCTTCTCCGCTCGCTTGCCGCCTATGCTCCTGGCCAAATCGATCGGCTTCTTCGCGCTGAAACTCTGACTGAGTTTGTTCAGTTTGCTGAACTGCTCCGACATGTTACTTAAAGCTTTTGTACCTGTGAGAGAGAGATTTATTTGTATAAAGTTGATTTTTTCTTTCCCGCGAAACGTGTATGACGAAGACGGAAAGTGTGGAAACGAACCTGCTGTTTTCAGAGCAAGCAGCTGCGTCTCGGACACATTTCGCGTCAGTTCCGGGAACGATGATATATCCAATAAGCCGATGGAGCCTTTAGCATTCACCAGTTTACTCTTTCTCTTATCCAACGTGACGTTCATGGCTACAGGAATCTTCGGCACGCTTGCTATTTCCATAGCCACCGAAATGGCCTCGCAAATCGCCTTCAAGGATTCTGAAATTCAAGGATACGGCAAAGCTAAGAGCCGAAGAGTCGCTGCGAGATGCAGGATCGCGGCAAAGGATACACGCTCACCTATGCTCTCCTCTTCGGTTTTGATCACCACCGCCATGTTGTTGAAAAACCGTAAATTTGTACTACGGAACATATGGAAGTAACCGTACTCGCTGTTAACTTTGTAATTGATTCTGATGCAGTGGTAATGCTTGTTCTTGAAGAACGAGACCATGTTCTCGGGCTGGCCGAATTCAATCAAGACGATGTCGCTTAACTGGACTCTCTGATAATTCGTAACCTTGTCGATTTGATCGTCGTAGTCCGCTACGTAATAACTATCTCGGGTTAGTATCAGGATAGTATCCATCTCTGTTTCAGTCGGATCGCCGGTGCTGCAAAACGAGCAATTTGATCGAGAAACAAGTCCAAATAATATTTTCCCAGCATAGGAGAGCATTTATGAAATTCTATTCATACGTACACAGGATCGGCATCAATCACTCCCCAACTGCCTAGAATAATCTCCGGGTCGGGTATCAGCAGTTTCTTACAGTCTTCGATCAGCAATTTCACGTGAATCGCGGTAGCCGCGTTATCCTCTTCCTCGGTACGCTCCTGGAACACTTCCTCGCTCACCGAGTTTCCCAACATCATATCGATTGTCGCTTGTCTATAGACGTCCTTGAAACGATTCAAGTAATATCTGCAAAGACGTTGAATCTGTTACTTAGAGAGTTGAAGGCAGACTCGAAGGCTAACAACAGTATCAAGAAAGATTGGAAATATTCGGCGGATCGTAATCTATGTACAATAAGAAATTGTACAAACGGGAGGAAAAGCGGCGTCTCTTTGCATTGTACTTCTTTTTTCTTTACATCTATTAAGATGGCTGAATCGTGCAAACCAAATTGAATTTCCAACGAAATAGGGAAGAAGCAAAAAAGATCAAGCATGCGAATGAATTCCGACAGTACATAAAAGAAACAACTTCTCATGCTGACAATGGCGCATGGCGCACGTTTTTTTTTTTTTTTTTTTTTTNATTGAGAGATCTCGAAGAGATCCCGTCCACTTCTTTGCCGTTACTTTTCCAACACAACAGTGAAGCTCAGAGCAAGCAACGAACCTTGCTAAATCATATAGGGCAGTGACATAAAGGAAGTCGGGATGAGTAGCAAGTTGAAGTTGTATATTTGGTGGTTTCATAGGTATAAGTTCGAGACAGCAATTATCAAGAATATCTAAATAGTGTGACCAATCGTTGTTCAGTCGGTCAACGTCGATTGGATTCCCTAGCAGCGTATCTATCGCCGCCTGACGTAAGTCGTCCGTAAAGTGTTGCTGATAATATCTAAAGGAAAATGAAAGGGCAATTTCAGGGTCCTATAGAATCCAACAATAGAGTGCATATCGAATATCTATAACTCAGGGACATTATTTTCGGAGACGCGATGTAACTGTGTGTGTGTGTGTGTGTGGTGTGCGTGCCGGTTTTGTTCGTGTCGTATGAGATGTGTTGTACTTGATGAACAGAAAACAAATTAAGCGAGCCACGGAATGTACGACGGTAGGGAGGGCGGGAGGAGAGCTCGTGGTGTCGTCGTACCTGTTCGCCGAATTCATGCCGTCTTTCATCAATCCGGTGAACTTTCTCTCCCCGGTACGCGTATAATCTCCCTGTAAAAGCAACAAGAGAATTTTTTGTGAACGTCACCCGTGATAAGATTCGCCGATCAGACCGGTATTTCTACTTCGACGTGCGTACAGACCTTCAAAGCATTCGTCCCTGCGTACTGCTTGCTAATAATATCCCCATTATTAGCCCAAAGCGATTGAAAAGTCTGTCTTATGTTTGCAGGCAGAATTCCGTCAGGTGGTATTAGTCCCAATTTCGAGAACTGCATTTCCATAACAGCTTTACCCAGAGCGGTTTGCACCACGTTTGTTCTATCTAAGCAATCTATGCAATTCACACGGAATACGCCCTTTTGCATGCATATCGTACCTTGTTTATCGCGCCAGCAGTAACCCATATCTGCCAGCACCGTGGCCAGCGCATTAGTCAGAATAGACACATTTTCGAAATGCATCCCTCGACTGTGTTAAGCACAAAATTTCACCAGATACAGATGTGATTCGTGACGATATGTATATATATACACACACACATACACGCACAGAGTGTTCCGCGAGGAAACCGAGGAATTTAGAAAATATTTTCTAGAGATAATTCTAAATAAGATTCTAAATTAAATAAGAAGTAATTCTGAATGAAAAGGTTCAGATACATTAAAGGTCAATTCGGCTGAGTTATCTAGATACAAGCAAATTTTATAAACATTGTAACAGGCGAAAAGTACCCGACACTTATATAAATTTTATTAGGCGAATCTTATTCTCATAACCATACTATCCGTTCAAAATGTCCACATTCCGCTTGCAAACATGCTAATACTCGTTGTGCTATAAATCGCCGCCAATTAATCTGCCTAAATTCGATAAATCGGACCGAGTTGACCTATTCGATGTATCTAAACTTTTTTGCTTAGAACGACCTTTAGAACACATTCTACAAGTTCATCGGTTTCCTCGCGGATACCCTCTATATATATATATATATATATGCGTGTGATGAAAAGCATAAGGATACAACATTAACGGCTTGTCGTTACTCACCAATATTCGTGGAAGTCGAAAGTCGTGTACGTTATGTCCGAGTGATTATAATTAAGCACATGATTGCTATAAGCCTCCCAAATGATCTTTTCTTTGCCGGACTGTTCGACCAGATTGACGATGCAAACCGGCCCGTACAACGTGAGCTCTTCGTCGAAATGCTTTTCGAACGCTATCTGCGTTTCAGCCTCATCTGTGCGACGTTTATATTAGCTTGCGATATTTCCCGAAGAAGATAACTCGAGATTATGTGAAATATGTCTCGACTCCTGTCTGTACCTTTATCAATTCGCGGTGGAGGCTTATACTTGTATCCAGGCTGCGACCAATACACTGGTACGCTTCCTCGTACTTGTACGAAAGATACCTGATGATCGTGATACCAGACCAGTTGCTCGGTCTCAACGTAATTCGCACACTTGCCATTATCGTCTACTCCGCGTCTCTTGTACCTGTTATGATGTTATAATGTGAAAATTCTCACGCGATCTGTTCAGCCAAATCGAGCCAGCGGTTCTCGCGAGTGAAACTCACCTGGTTCCAGCACGGAATCTGCTCCTCCTCGATATGATCGCCAAGTTGAACGTCTCCTGCTGCGGCTGTTCGTCGAAGCCCACTTCGACTATGCACTTTTCTATCTGAACATATCCTTGAATGATCGGTAGTATCCAGCAGTTTGCCTTATCTGTCTGCGAAGTAAATTGCAACTCAGATGGGCGAATAGCGCGTGTCACAAAACACACGAATAGCATATGATCATTGATCATCGTTATCGTACAGTTGGCTTCGCGATGACACTGTGTCAATAAGCGAATGAAATAGAAATCGGATCGCCTCTGATAAATTTTGCTCTCTATCACGCTCGATCGCAACGTACAAGGACAACGAAGCCAACTATCAATGCAAACGGAATTCGTAACAGTTCGCTAACATTCAAATTAATAATGTCATGTAACATGTGCTTATTCCAGAAGAATCTGTCGTCGACGCGTTGCCACAACGGCTTGTTCCGGTCGCTCTGCTCTTGCTGAGATTCCGTTACGCACTGCCGTTGCAGGGTGTTGGTGATGTCACCGGTTCGACAGAAGAAGAAGGAGTCGGTCTCGGTGAATATCTTGCTCAGCTCCTCCAGAATTCTCCTCTCGAATCTTTCTTTATCTTTCACGATGCTCCGTTTCGTCACTGTCGACTTTACCTGTGAAAATGGTTCGCGCAAGTTACACGCAAAAACCACAACTGTGCAATTTATCAAGGGACTCCGATGATGGAATTTCTTACCTGAGACGTGGCTAACGCAGCAGCTTGCTGGGTGGTATTCTTTATGGTGTTGGTGGCGTTCTTGATCGTGCCCCAAGTCTTGGCGAAGGCTGCTTTCTGCGGCACATCGAACAATCCACCGGCGCCCTTCTTCTTCAACACATACTGGTGCTTCTTACATGGCAGCAGGCTGATGTCGGTGTTCTCCGTGCCGATATGTAGAAACACTATAGATTTGATCTTGTAGACGACATGACCACCGTGCAACTCTCCCGCCGGCGCGACATCCTTTATGAGCATCAAGCGAGGCTCCAATACTGACGCTTGCTCGATTTTCCCCACTATTCCGTAAAACATGCCCAGACATTCGAGATCCTTCGGCGTGGCCCATTCCCAATCTGCAAAGAACCCATCGTTGTCAATGAGACAGAGAAATGGTAAACGAAAATATCACTTTAAATCCCGAAAGCAACATTCTCTCTCTCTCTCTCTCTTTCGTTGGCTATTAAGGCTTGTATCGGAAAATGTCATCTGTCAACAAGTCTGTTAAATCTCGGCTGTTAAAACGAAGCCTCGACTCCCGAAAAGATTTTGCAATGTCGAAAGGACAGGCTCGCTTGACAGGTGACGTTTAGTATGTGTGTATGTGTGAGAAAGAGACGATTCGTACGCACGCACGCACGCACGCACGCACGTATTCTCACCTGATTTCGCGGAGAATTCGCCGGTGTATTTGTCGCACCAAAGGCTGTGCCTCTCCTTCACGAAGATAAAATGAGTGTCGGTGCGGAACAGCTCCATCGCCAGCCTCGACAGCCGTCGAACAACACGTGTGACGTTATTACGTGCGGAGAGACAAAATATCCGCCTACCACCCAACGCTCGCCATGTTGCCCGTCCGTCGCGCGCCGCCTCTGCGTCTTTACCTCCCCGACGTGGGAGGCGATGACGGACCGAGCGAGAGACGCTCGAATCAATTGTATTATTCCTCAATGAGCATGACAATCAAGGTGATCCGGGTCGCTCGATATCCCGCGGCGACAACTGCTTTCCCGATTCCCGTGATCGCGGGAGTCGTCGCTCTTGACCCGATATACATCAGTACACGTATCAATAATTAAGGGATTCCCTCTCGCCTTTTTTTACAGGTTTATTAGTAAACAGTTTATATATATATATAACGCGATATTTTTAGATGCGAAGAATCGCGTGAGAGAAAGAAAGAGGGGGTTTGAAAATATAATAAATCAATGCTGAGAGGGAAACATAACATTCAGCAGGAAAGATCGAGCCGATTACAACCCGAACAGCACGCTTATCCGATCGTACGTGCTGCTCGTAAGGCTGGATCTGAAAGATTCGAAGCAGAAGCGACGGATTTCGAGATTAAAAAGATCGAGCTTCCGAATAAGTGAACTTTTATTACAATCACTGTGTGGGTGAGGGTACACTTTTTATACATACACAACTTTACATTTTTTTTTCCACTTTACACTTTTCTTTTCTCCCTTTTTTCCAAGGTACATACCTAAAACTCGTCTGAAAACTCGGAGAGGTGATGTTTCATATTAAAAAAGTTTACAAATCCTCGCACGGACCAATAGCCGGTCCGTCTAGCGTCTATAATGCGTAAGACGGTTAAACGCCCCGCAGCTTTCGTAATCAGTGCGGACAGCGTAATTACGGCTCTTAATGGCTGGAATATGCCGCGTGAGACCCGCAGCGGTGCGAGCACAGTAGGTAGGACGGGGAAAATTAAATCATTCCCGCGTGGTATCGCGTGATGAGAGCCGTGCTCTGCCCACACCAGCCGTGCTTACGAAATACAATACAGAAAAAGAGAGGGAAAGAGAATAACATGCGGGAAAACTCGGCACGCACGACGTCGAACACGCAGGCGGCAGGCTTACTCGAGCATGCCGTAATAATAGTATTCATAGTACTCGCTATCACGATTATTATCCGTGCAGCGCGTCTTTGTTCGAAAACGACCTTTATACACGTAAGTACGATACGACCGATAAATAATTCACGAATACACTGAGAGGTATGAAAAATATTCGCAAATATCCTTCAAGTGAATCAACATTGTGCATCGTAATCTGAAAGTATCTCCTTGCAATAACAAGGGAAGAGGGGGGTCTGGTCGATTGAGTTAATCTAGTCTTCCTCCTCATTTATCCTCCGGGATGCGTGAGACAGTCTTATATAACTCGTTTCTTTCGTCTACGGTTCTAAGGTAGCTGGTGGTTCGAAAATGCCATCCTTCCATTATTATTATATACAGTCCACGAGTCGCTCTTTCCATCTCTCCCTACGTCCCCCCCCCCGTCGACCGACATCAGTTTATTTATCCGCTCTCGCAAGATCGATAGGAAGAAAAAAGTCGAGTTCCGTCGACGATTCGCGACAAGGTTCGATCCCACTCGGTCGTCTACTTACTCGTCGTCGTTAGCGTCGCTCTTTTTGGCCTTGTACTCTTCCCACTTTCTGTGATTGAGAGTCTGAAAGTCGTCGACCTTGGCTATCAGCTCCAGGTATCTCGACAGCTTCACCAACTCGACGTCTTTCAGTCTGGTGCTGTGAGCGTGCTTGAAAGGTCTTATTCTCAGTCCGGATTGCGGATTCATGATGAAATTTCTCCTAATGTCGTCGAACATTATCGTGTTCTTCGCGGAGTACTGCTTGTACTTACCCCAGATGATGCCGAGAGGCTTCACCCTCACGACACCGTACTTCGGGGTATAAACGGTGATCATGGCGAGGACATCCAGGTGAAAGGCTATCTTATAGCTGGGATGACTTGACACTCCCAGCAGCTTCATTTTTTCATTGATCCATCTCATGCTGGTCGCCGACCAGATGACGATGTCGTAGCTCTTGTAAGCGCGCGCGAGAAACTCGTGGAGATACGGGCGCATCAGTTCCGCTCCGCTCTCCGCCACCGATTTGTGATCGAACAGGGTGTAGTCGATGTCCAGGACGAGTAACTTCTTACCTTCTCTCAGTGGATTTAGCTCCGTGATCATATAGCGGTCGATTCTTATCTGTATCTTGTGCAGATTCACCTCGGCCTTCTCGACCTCCACTTCCTCCTCCTCTATGTCTAGATCGTTAATCACATCAGGTACATTCTCTGGCGCTTGACTGGCTTCCGCAATATCTTCCTCCCGTGAGCCCATCAACATTAGCTTGTAGCCAGGTTTCAGGTCTATCTTGCCAATAATATCGTCATCCTGTGCTGCCTTACCTATAATGGGAGAAGTCATTGCAAAAATCAGGGATCCTACAGAGACAAGTCTGGATTATAAAACCAAGATCTTTGTTAGCTTCGTTTCAAAAGCGATCGAGATGCTATAGGGAGAATAATTATTTCAAGGAATGTAAAATTCCACGTACTGTGCATGTGAGAAATTCCAAATTGCAAATGTCTTCAAGGAAATATTATAAGCAGGAACAATGTACAACAAAAATATAAATAAAATCTAACATATATATGGTGGTTGATGTAGCAGTACATATACGACTATATTTCACAGCGATACGGTGGAAAATATACTTTATCAAAATAAGGCATCAGTAATTGTTTATCAGATGGTTCATCCACCCAAAGACAAAACATAACCTTTAAACTTGAGATTTAACAGTCTCTGACGTTCAGGTCGAACACCCGTCTCCTTGTATATATATTCCTTCAGCGTAAGGACGGTATCCTCCCCCTGAAGATCGAGGATATTGTAATCCTTCCCGCTCCATCTCACCACAATCCCATGTTTACATTCCATCCTCGCGTTTCCCCTCACGTCAATAGAACGAGGTGTGCATGTGCATCACGAGCCTGAAAAGAAGCGCAACACACGCGCGCCTACATTATCGACAGCGCCACTTTCGATTTGGAACAGGATCATTTTTACCCGACGGAACCTGTGTAATTCAATTCTGTAATTTCATAATGAAAATGTCACTAGCCTAAGGTGCCGTCGCTTTCTGCTATATATCAAGCCTCGTCCACAATGCGGAAATCGTCCATAGTGCTAAAATATATTACGTTATACGTGAAAATAAAAGGATATATATATAAAATCTGTTTTCTTCTTCTTCTCTGTCAAAGTAGGAATTCTCCCTTAAAGTGGAATAAGTATGTTTTGTCTCGCTCTGACTTGCATTCATTCAATACACATGTGCAATACATTCAGAAATGCCAACACCGCTCACTGCGCTCAGTGAACTCTTGCAGTCTCCGATTGGCATGTTCTTTCGGATCTAAAAATATACCCCAATCAAACACAAGAGCTCATTGAGCGCCCGGTGAACATGCGTGTGCGTATGATGTATTGGGTGAGTGCAAAAGTTCGTGCGGAGGTGCAATAGATGGCGTTAGAAGCGGCGTAAAGTTTTGTCATTAATACCGCCATATCCGTAAGATATATCGTTGGAAAGGTGACGTGTGCAGCGTTCATTTCAAACAAAAGAATTTGTGTAGATACGAACTGCTTCGAGAAAGATTACTTTCAAAATGAGTGTCGAAAAGGTGCATTTACGGCATGTTATGCTTTACGAGTTTCGGAAAGGAATAAACGTTGCAGCAGCCGTAAGAAACATTCAAGAGGTTTATCAAGATCAAGCACCAGCTAAACGAACTGTGGAAAAATGGTTTGCGAAATTTCGCCGCGGACAGTTTAACCTTGAAGACGAGCCACGCTCAGGTCGACCTTCAGACATTGATGACGATGTTGTGCGAACTTTAGTTCAGAATACTCCGCGAATTTCAACAGAGGAAGTTGCTACAGCACTTAACGTTGACCGATCAACCGCTTTTCGGCGTTTAAAAAAAATCGGTTTCGATTTGAAGCTCGATGTATGGGTGCCCCATTTGATGACGGAGAGGAACAAGATCCAGCGAACTCGTACCAATATCGGTCGCCCTTCTGCAGACGGAGGAACTGATCAGCGATCAGGCACGCGAACGTCGGCCCGACCAGGCTGCCGGATTCCGGCAGTTCCGCCAGCGCGCCGGTGTATAAATCTACGTCGTCGACGGACTCGTAGAGAAGTGATATCTGCCGCAGAGCCGACGGCTCCAGGTACCTCCCGAGATCGTCGAACGTCCGCGCCTCCCCCAGCCCGCAATACTCCCGCCACACGGTGTAACCCGGTAACCCGTGATCCCGTCCCCGTTGGATGTTCAACGACACGTATATATTGACACAATATATATTACAAATAACGATATATGTATATATTATAAATAATCAAAAAGTGTAACATAAGATTGATTACTATATTATATTTTCATTTTACATAATTATTAGAAACGATATTTACAAACAATATGTTATATTTAATAATATTCTATTATAACATTACATTTACAATTGACCTAAAACTTATATAAAGAATAATGTAAAGAAAATTGTCGAAAACTGTTGCAATGATTACTTTACGATGTCATGGAGCGAGAAGCGCCTTCGGCCCTCCATGGCGCGAAAGTAGGCCCTGGTATGTCCTCGCAGGATATCATAGGATTATCACGGCCAGCAGAGCTCATAACTTTCATCTGGGTGTACGTGATACCGTCGGAAGTGTCGCATATTAATTTCGCCAGCGAACTTTTGCGCAGCTCCGCGAGCTGATCTGCAATTTTGACAAGTGCAAATCACCCGTTCATCATTTACACACATACACATATACATGCAACTGAAAATTAGTGAAAAAAATTAATTAACCCTTTGCACTCCGCTGTCGCCGTAGCGGCGACATGGTTGTTTTGCTGCCTCGGCACTTTAAGAAATTTTAAGTCCTAAAATTTATGTTTTTCTTTTATAATATAAGTTAGAATATGTTTTGTTATAAAATAGCTAAGAAATAAAAATTTTGTTTTATTGAAACGACTCTATTTTTCTTCTACATCATAGGTATGTACTTGGAACTAATAGCCTCTATGCATTACTAGGCTGGAGTGCAAAGGATTAATTTAATTCGCTCCAGACTCGTTTGAGATTTACCAGTAAAACTTTAATCAATAATTAATTGATTCACCTTCTGTGAAAGGATAAGGTTGCTCAGCGAACTCGTACCAGTATCGGTCGCCCTTCTGCAGACGGAGGAACTGATCAGCGATCAGACACGCGAACGTCGGCCCGACCAGGCTGCCGGATTCCGGCAGCTCCGCCAACGCGCCGGTGTATAAATCTACGTCGTCGACAGACTCGTAGAGAAGCGATATCTGCCGCAGAGCCGACGGCTCCAGGTACTTCCCGAGATCGTCGAACGTCCGCGCCTTCCCCAGCCCGCAATACTCCCGCCACACGGTGTAACCCGGTAACCCGTGATCCCGTCCCCGTTGGATGTTCAACGACACGAGGTCGAGGCCGCAGGCCATCCCGGTGGAGTTGCCAACGAAGGGGTCCTCGAAGAGGTGGCTGGTCAACTGCGAGGTGACGTGCGTGGAGTACCTTTGGATAACGTTGCTCGTCGCCGAGGTGATCGAACGCTCGATCCCGTCCTCAGAGTAGAGGCTGTACGGGTTGAAGAGCATCCTGTGCAGCTCCGTGTAGGTCGACGTGCCCTTCTCGACGTCCGTAATCCTCATCAGGCCCGGCAGCAAGGTGTGAGCGAAACGGAAGGCCGCGGCTGCGAAATGATTCGCCACCGTCGGATCGTTAATCGGCTCGTCCGGGTCGTCCGTCCGCTTCCTGTAGCTTCCGGCGCTCATAGGCTTCAGCTCTTTCATCCTGCCGTCGCCCAAGACGACCGGCAGGAACTCGCGATAGGCGATGTGCTGCAGCTGAGCGCCGACGATGCGTCGCGCTTCCTGGTAGAGCGTCTCGTCGCTCCATGCGGGGTTGATCGTGGACAGCTGGTCGGCGACACGGTTGTGCTGTCGAGCCCAGAGCAGGTGCATCGTCGTCAGGTGCAGGTTCTCGTTCGCCCTGGCGTCACCCGCGGAAAAGCAATAGCGACCGCGACGTCGCTCAGCTTCCCGGTTGCAGCCATCGTCGGGGTTCCTGCTCGCCGGCAGCAGACTCCTGTTGCCGGCAACCAGCTGCATCCTCAAGCGACCTCCCGCGAACTCGCGCAGGTCGCGGACGGTCGACGCGTCGGCACCGTAGATCGCCGAGCCGTCGATGAAGGCGCTGACCTGGACGCAACGGAATGTTAACGTACGGCGATATGTTCGGCGCGGAATAGAGAATCTCGTTGAATTTCGCTGACGAGACGAGCGAAATCCAACCGCGTTTTGATCGAAGGAATTACAATTTCGGGGCCCTTTGTAACAACCGATGATTCTGTAAGAACCGGAACTCGGGGCCAGCTATCACGAACTGTTCGGGATCAATTTCGATCGGAGTTTTTCAATCGAATGTACCAAATAATTGCAGCGTCGCGAAAGTCTCGGGAGAAATTCTGCCGTGTAATTTCACAAATATTCCCCTGTCGAAGGATTACGATTACGCTTCTACGCTTGGGATTACTTGATTGAGCTGTTCTCTCGGGCCGAGTTTGCAGCGCGGAGCTGGAGCCGATCTCACGAAATCCATGCAGTCTCTGCCGTTGAGATCGTGCGCGGGATCACCGGCACCTATTCGCACTGGGAAGCACTCGGGGTGCCGCTTTGACGGAGGGCAGCACGCTATGGAGCTTCCGTTGACGCCCTGGCTCAGTGCGGTGGCGGTGATATCGTGGTCCAAGAACTGGCCGAACACAGCCAGCATCACCGTGAAAGACGGATTACTGCTGGGCGAGGGTCCGTGTACTTTCAGACTAACTTCCCTGGCGGATGGCAGCTCGCCGCCGGACCGTGCCCTCCGAGGCGACTCGAACCCGTCGGCGTAATCGGCCGGCAAGACTCTTCTGAACGGCATCAGGCTGGAGCCCCATTGACCCGGACGGTTGCAAGTACCGTCGATGCTCCTGTATTTGCCGGCTCTGCAACTGCGCCCGGAATACCGCTCGCATACGCCCTTCGGCGCCCAGCCGCCGTTGAAGGAGGCATCGATCGCTGATGGCTCATCATGAGTGGACCTTTATATATATATTAAATATTAAATTTAAAATAATTAGTAATAGAATAATTTTGGAAAAAAAATTAAAGATTTGTACAAAAAGCACGTGATGTGCTTTTTTTATTTTATATATATATATATTTTTTTTTTTTATGCAACACTTACTGGACATTAATCTCTCGATATCATTATTATTTTTTTTTTTGAGAACAATATTACATTTGGTACAACTCAGAATTAACGTTTAATATGATAACTTTCTCTCAGAAACAATTGTTTTTTCAAATGTTCAAAAAGAACGGTTATTCGCGTGCATTCGGCTCTTTTTTTTTTACCTTTTTTCCTCCGAAAAAGTTAATTTTTTAGATATTTTCTTTACATCATGACAATAAACGATATCTGAACGGTATATGCGCACGCATCTGTCGAATGTAGTCACCTCATATTCTCGATCGTCCTCGTCGCCGCGATTTCGCCCACCGCTGCCAAGGCAAGGGCGCTAACGTTACGGCAGGTGTTCACGGCGTAGCGGTGCCTGGACTCCGGCGACGGAGAGGGTAATGGTGACTGCGCCGCGATCATGTCCGCGAGCACGCGCTTCCTCATCGCCCGCTCGCCAGCTCGCAAGCCCTGCGTGTATTCTTGGCGACTGAGTCTCTTCGAAGTCGAAATGTCAGCATCCTCGTTAGGCGCCGGCTCGACCGTCGCGCTGACCGTGCTGCTGAAGGATGCATGCGAAGTGGATCCCGGTGCGAAGTCTAATCTCAGAATACTACCCAAGCTGGCGGGGAACGTCGCATTATCGGTGATGGAGCCGGTGGAATTGGCGTGACTCATGGAATAACTGACGGACACCACCAGAGCCATGGTGAAGACCACTCTGCAAGGTCGAGGACAAAAATTCCCAGTTCCCAGAGCTGACAATTCCGGCGGCTACCGGGAGCGACTTATTTTTCCTCGCTAATTTAGAAATGTACTCTAACTTTCTCTCGTTTTTGAGAAATAGACTCGCTTTTCTTTTTCTTATCAGACATTTGAGCCTTTAAAAAGAAAAGAATTCGGTCACGATATTTTTATTGATTTATTTGTTAACTTTTGTCACATTCTCCATTTTCTAGGATTCATTCAAGCGAAAATAACAAAGCTTCATTGTTCCGATGATGTTCGCATGACGGACTTACATCAGAATACCGCAGACGCAGCACTGGAACTGTCGGAGTCGCGTTCGCCGAGTCCTCAGGATGCTGGCGAATTCGACGTAATCGGGCGAATCCGTACGCCTCGTCAGAGGCGTCCTTTCCGTAACGCCGCGCATTCTCGTCGCGTAAAGAATAAAAGAAAATGAAGAAGACACGTATACCACGATAGAGTACACGGAGATCGATCCCCGTCTCTGACAATTGAAGCAAATGAGCCCGCGGCGATACTTCTCACATTTGTAACAACGTCGACTGTCGTCTTGATTACAACATCGCACTATCAAACATTACCCGCTTCCTTGGCTGAGAATATGACTCGAAAAGGTAACTCTTGTGCGAAAAAGTCTTTTTTTAATTATCCGAATTTTTGTCACGACTTCCTGTCGTTCACCAAATCTTAGATAAGTACTCAGATACGATGTTTACAAGTAACTTCCTTGTAGTTGGCATGTCGCAGAAGTGTTTAACGTTTTCCGTCCGCGCGTAAAGAGGAACTGAACTAAGTAACGTCCTCAGCCCTTAGACGTACCGACGCCGGTATCGTATGGATTACGCTTGTTCGCGCACTCTCTCACGGGCAATCCGACCGGTTATGTAAGGAGAATTGACAGCCGAGAATGAAACATGAGGTGAGCGCGTTTTTATTTTGCGGTCTGTCACAGCGCTGACAACTCAGGCGAGAAGCAAAGTGCGCCACAGAACGCCGTTGGATCGTATATAGTTCACGGAATATTATCCCGGGCGTAATGAAAACGCGTCACTCGCGAATAAAACGTCCTGATGAGGCAAAATGTTAATTGCTGAACAGTCAATTAATTATTCATTATACGGTTTGGAAGGAGGAACACCTCCTTCTCTACTGTCACGCGCAGATCTCGTAAATGAAATAATATATTAAAATGACACAATAATATATATAATAATATATTAAAATAATAAATAAATAATATATATATTTAACAATATATTAAAATAATAAATTGTTAATTATGCTTTATACATATGTTATATTTGACGGATACTCTTGTTAATAATCAGAGAGTGGGATTTTATATCGTTTAAACTTTCTTTCGTTAATTACTATAACGTAACGTGAATGATGAACGCCAACGTTTCACTGCCAGGGACGACGGTCGATGCGCAGTTATTGTGATGATTTCGTTGCCACGTCTTATACCTGTGTAACGCGATATGTCGCCGGATCGCGAAAGGGCTTCCGTCTTTTGCCGGGCTTCTCGAGAACGTAAATCTATACATCGGCAACAAAAAATCATTTCGGACACTTTCGTTTGATTCTCAGCTGTACTTTTCCACACTTTATGTAGCTTCAAAATTATCAGATCAATTTATGCTCGTCAGTCGATAGTAATAATAATAGTAATTTACATAAATTGTTAATAATAATTTCAACGTATTTGCATCGAAGCTCCTTGTCCTTCGCTGCAGTCGTCTTGTTTGATGACGTCGAAAGCGAGAAAAGAAAAGAAATGCAACGATCGAAAGTTCGACTGACGATCCGTCGTTCGTCCGTTTGACTTTTCCTTCTTTCTTTTCTATTCCGTGCAACAAAAGTTGTATCGTTTAGGAGCGCGCAACTCGAGCCACTGTTCTTGGTTTGGGACGTACATTTCAGCCGGCATGCGCTCCAAACCTGGAGATTCCGGCGACCCCCGTTCGTTTGTTCTGCGAGCTAAAAAATATCAAATATATCATTATAACAACAACGATATTATGCGTTCGTGATGGACTTTTTCTTGAAAATTCGATATATTTCCGCTACAAAAGACAGGTTTCACGTACCCAGCCGTTTACGCATAGCGATCGCTTCGCCCGGATGCCTTAAGAGAAGTCGACCGACGCCCTCGCAGCGACGCAGGACCTCGTTTTTCAGCAGATGACTCCTCACGTTTTGCGATATGATTGAACACTCATTGACCCACGTCGACACGTACGCGAAATCCGTCAACAGCTGCAGCGCACCGTACTCGCTGGAAATACGTTTCAAGGTATAATCAAATAACGAGAAGTTGTTTTGTCAAATCATTGCGATAAAACGAGACCACAAAAATAAGTCTTACGTATTATATGTTTTCATCATAGTCATGATACACACAGATATATACAAGGACAACGGGCGATAACAATCACCATTGAATATCTTTAAAATACGAAGGTAGAAGAGAAGAATTTACCAACAGAAATCGCATATATTGATGCCAACGGTCGTCACTTCGAGCGTCTTCTATAAATGTAAATTTTTTCATCCTCTTTCTCACTTAGTCGTTAATGAAATATTTTCTTCCTCCGAGGATATTCAAGCTGATAACAATTATCGCTACATTCTGTATTTTATTAAGATTCTCACTTGTGTAAGATTTTATCAATATCTCTCGGTCCTCTCGAATCTTTGAGAACAAAGAATGTCGGTTCTTCATAAATATACTTACGAGCTACATCGAGCGAACGTAGAGAGCTTTTACCTGAACTTAATGCGATGCAGATAAATATAATCGAGCCATGCCTCGCACATTATTCGCAGAATCATGTTTGACGTTTCGTGGTCCTCTATCACTTCCAACACCGGCAGCAATACCTTTTCTACAACGTGCGTCTTCATGTACACGAAACAGCGACATATTTCAAGAGTCCGGCGTGGTAATGTTAACAGTGACATAAAGACCGATATATAATAAAAATCGCATCACCGAAGTAAGTCTCCACGTAATTACTGGCCGCCGCCGGAGCCACGCTGCTGCTTCTTCTCCAGTAATTCGATCGTGGGAAGCACATGTGCAGATTCGCGAGGCTGACCACCCGGCAGATCTTGGCGAGCGTGTCGATGCACCGAGCGGAGCAAATCTGTGAGATGGGAAGAAAATAAACAAACAATCACCTTCGGCTCTCTTCGAAAGAGCGACGGATCGCAACAGATTCTCTCCGTCAATAAATGCCGTGATATCACACCTGTAGCAATTCAACGTTCGCCTTGACTTCGGAAACGATCTTCGCCCTCATCTTCGCGCACACGTACACTTGGACGCTGATGGCATCGTGGGCTTCATCGGTGGATCCCAACGCGGTCGTGTGATCGGCGAGCTGAAACGACAGCCGATAACGAGTTACAAGATGACGAAGAAATTATTTCAGGACGGTATTTAAGAAACGCCATATTTATATTTATTTATTTGCTATGACAGCAAAACAATTCGCTGTTTCTCCAAATCTATTTTTCATCTTTCTGTATGAGAAGCAGGCGGAGGTGCGAAGAAGAGCAGCACCTTGAGGTAAGACAGCTCGTCAAGACAGTTCGCTATGTCGCCCTTCACCAGCAGGAAGAACACGTCCAGGTCCCAAGTGTGCGCTATGACCTTGGCCTCTTGGATGGCCCATAATCTCGCGGTGTGCACCGAATGGTCCATCCTGTGCAACACTACGATCTGCTCCGACAAAGGCAGCTCTATCAAGGGCGCTCCTACTACCCACTCGCCACCCACTTCGCATTCGTTGCTGAGGGTGACCAGCAAATGAAATAGCTCGACGAACATCTGACCCGTGTCGGTTCCCTGTAAGTAAAGAGCCGTTAACTCAGGTCGCCCTAACGATTGTTCCGTTCGGAGAACTTTGATCACGCAATAACCTCCGTGGTCGACGGCCTCGAACAGCATTCGAAAGCCGAGGTGTACGCTAATCTAAACTGCTGGTCCCAAGCGGTGATAGTCGTGTGATAACCGAGCGCGTCGCACAAGTTTTGCAGCGCCGGCCTGACTGTAGGTGGAACTGAAATTTTGGAGATCCGGTACAGAAGACGCGATATTGAATATTCGTCACGATTATTCTCACTGCATCGCCGAATTATTAATTATTATTGTTGTCGGAAATAATAATAATGTTTGCAGTAATAATAATTAGTAATGATGATAATAATTAATTTTAAATTATTACTATCGTTGCCGATATTATAATAATAATTAATTATAATAATAATAATTATTATTATTAATTCGTGTTTTTTCTTTATTAGTTATTCATTTTTATGATAAAATATTTCCTCGAATGAGAAGCATCTTTACTTTCATTTTCCTGAATAAATTGCCGTAGCCAATCCTTAAGATGCTGCGCGCCGTGGCTGTGATGAGTCGCGAGGGCTTCTCGGGACCACCAAAGTATCACATGATCTAAAATACCGGACAGGGCTCCCCATGCGACCTCCTGATAGTATTCCTTCACTTTCCTTATCGCACTGCTTCTCAACTTTGTTTCGCCTAGGAGGCAAACTTACGTTGAACTACTTTACAATTATCTAATTATTTTCCGTACAAATCTTTGACGACATGTTGATTATTACGTTAGAATAAGGACATAGAAATAAGACATAGAAAGCTAGAGGAAAGCGTAGTATTTAAATTCCTTCGAGTCGTTTTCCTTTTAAATTCGCTACCTTTGCTGGTCTTCAAAGCGTCTGCGCCAAGCAACTGCGGCGAAACTTCTTGTACGACATTTAAAAGTCGAAGGATTTGCTCGTTCTGCGTGTTTACGAGCGTCTGTACACTTTCGATATTCGATATTTCTACTTCGGACGTTGACGTAGCGCTCGCGATTGGCGGAGTTAAATGTCTCGTAAGGGCACTGTAATTTTCAAGATACGACGAATGCAAACGTTTTCATTATTTTAGTGAAATATTAAAGAATTTTTTTTGTTTAGTCGCAACGATATTCAACGTATAATGAAATAATTTTTTTGTTTCGACCGACCGGTAGATCTCGATACTGGAGTTTTCCGAAACGTCTACGTCGTTCGTTGTAGACGTAGGCTCGATCTTTTCATGAGGTTCGTAGTTCGCCAAAAGACAGTCGATGAGCTCGTGGCAGGATTCCTCCGCTCTGTTCTTCGCTAGTATCTGAAACCGGGTGCATTCGATGACTTGACTCCAACAAACATCGAGTAACGGTAACATTAAATTTAACTGTTACATATATAAAGTTAAATCTGGAAGTTTGGTGTTAACTAAATCCAAGATCTCACACGAACAGGTTGAGGCGCTCACCTGCAATATTTTGGTCACGGAGATTTTCTTCAACGGTTCCAACATGGACGGACAGTCATTGTAAAAGACGTTGACGGATGAATCCGACACATCCCGGTCGATGTCGAGTATGCTGTTGTAAGCATTCACCAACCTGCAATTCTCACGATACGTCGTTACTTCTCAGCTGTATATCGTGAAAAGGAATTATGAGGATTTTCTGATCTGAAGGGATAAAAATCAATTTCTTTCTTTCGCATTTCCTGAATCGTTTGTACGAATGAGAGGGGGTGAGGGGTAAGATACTCAAATTTCGTGTACCGTATAATTGTCGAATAGCCTTTCATTATACGTGATTAAATTCAGCGTAAAATATCCTTTTATTTGGATGAAAAAAATGGTTAAGTTTTTAAGAAAGTGATCAATGTGCGCGCCTCAGTTTTACCTGAACACTATTCTAATGATCTCCATGCTCTTATAATCGACGATATCAGTGATTAAATTACGGGTGAACTTCGCGACAACGTTGAGCTTGCGCTTCAACACCATCGATAGATGATTCACTTTGTATTTATATATCGGGTGAGCGCCCAATTCTCCCGGGCTGCTCGTCGACTTGTAACTCTCTATTAGCTCCTCCAAGCTGTCGATCACCTCCTCAAATACCTGTAAAACGTACAAAGCTGCAAACGCAACGATGATGCAACCGTGCTTTCAGTACTTTTTTAGTTTCATACTGTTCTCGACCGTTCGAGTCAAACAAATAAGAATACTGGATTGAAAAAAAAACCTTTTTTCTGCGCATATATATTCTTTATTGTTTTCCGATAATTTGGATTTGAGACCTCGAGATCGCAAGCCCGAACATCCGCGAGGTCCTCGATGACCAAAGCTATGTAACCCACGAGCTTTCCCATTCTCTCGTCCAAAAGAGAGGCGTCTACGAGCCACTTGTCGAGAGTACCACTGGAGAGCGGCAGCCACTTCGCGATATTCGCTCTGTAATTGGTATCCATAATATCGACGCGATATTTTTAATTACACCCTGGCTCTCCCACGCAAAATTTACGAGGGTGCTTTCTGTGGTCAGCCGTGGAATTGGCCAGATTACTGTCTCTTCGGGTGCTCCGCACGTGCTTGCATTTATTTAAACTGTGTACTCGGCCCCGGACAGCTTGCGATTCGCTCGAAAGCGTCACACACATCACTCTTGCGGAATCACACTGGGCAGTGGGAATTAATTAACTAGTAGACTACTAATTGATAACGTGTAAAAATACAGTACATTGGTTGTCGTATGTTAGTTGTAAAAAAAGAACTGCAAAACTATCGCGTGTTTGAGCGTATCACGTCAGAGTCAAAGTACGATTGGCGTGCGATTGCTGTCTCGAAAAGACAGCCTCGTCCGTAATTCGCGCGACATTATGTTTCTTTTTTAGAGGCACCCGACACTACTTGCTGTCACTTTGATCAGAACGACGAATATCGCACCATGCGTTCCCAGTTACCACGGATACGCTTGACGCATGGTGGCTGGACAATGTGTATATACAGAGTGTCGCTGAACAATCGCATGCGCAATGCACCGGGAGATTCTTCCCGGTAAGAAATCATTAACACAACGTTATTATAATAATACTTTACATAACATGTAACATGTTTTCAAATACGTCGTTCTTAATGTTGTATATACACAACGTCATTTTTAACGATACTTGACCCGGACATTAAAAGTAATATTTATACAATATGACTTTAATATTTAGAAACATTATAACGGTTTAAAAACATTTATAAAATATTATGTCAAAATGTTTATAAAATCCGCATGAATCAACGTTTCAAAATGTTGATTTAATGTTTCTTGTTTCTTGGGAATAGTAATAAATTCAGATATTATGCATAGTTGTGTAAAAAAATCTTTAAAAGAAGATGTACGGAAGAAAAACAATCTACATGACTTATGATTCTTTGGGGATATCCTGCATAACGCAAATCTTACGGCTGAAGTCTGCGAACAGACGCGGAGCGTGAAAAAAAAATTGCGAATTGACGCAATTTCACGGTATAAATAAATAAAAAAAAATGAAATTCTAATCTACGTGAAACTTGCGATTGTATAACGGTTACCCCGGGCGATGAGAGTAAATTATTATCGTGCTTCTTCCTAGGGTAGCCCATGGCCGGCGTCCAAATTTACCGTGTCTAAATTAAAAGTTTAATTAAAATTCCGATTCGACGATCCGTCTAAATTTTCACCGTGTAACATCAAGGGAAAACGTTCGGGAGCATCAAAATGGTAATAGATAAGTGAAATTACGTTCTCCGAACGACATTCCGGAGAGCGGCGAGCGAAGATGCGTCCTAACGTGGCTCGTCGTCGCATTTTTCCAGCTTTTAACGTATAAACACCGAAATATACCGATGCGCTCTTTGGTTTACAGCGTGAGTGTATATCAATGCATGTGGGCCAAGCGGGCGTCCAGATAGGCAATTCCTGCTGGGAGCTGTATTGCCTGGAACACGGCATCCAGCCGGACGGCACGATGCCGTCCGACAAGGCTTCCGGAAGCAACAATTGCTTCAACACCTTCTTCAACGAGAGCAGATCCGGCAAAATGGTCCCGAGAGCCGTGATGGTCGACCTCGAGCCAACAGTAGTAGGTCGGTCATAACAATATTGTGCCACAAAGATACGTAGAGATTTAGGACGAGGGAAAAGAGATATAGAAATCTTCGGATCATTAGGAAGATAATCAAGATATTAGAGACATTACGATAATATTAAATCTCGCATAATATTAATTATATAATATTAAACCTTAAACTTCACCTATAACCACATATTTTCTATAATTGTGGCAATTGAGCGAATGATAATTTACTTTTACGATATCACTTCCGCAGATGAAGTACGGTCTGGAAGATACAAGCAATTGTACCATCCCGAACAGCTGATCACTGGAAAGGAGGATGCCGCGAATAATTACGCTCGCGGTCACTATTCCATTGGAAGCGAAGTCATCGAATCGGTGATGGATCGAGTTCGCAGATTGACCGATCAGTGTACCGGCTTGCAAGGCTTTTTCGTCTTCCACTCGTTCGGAGGCGGCACTGGGTCGGGTTTCACTTCTTTGCTCATGGAAAAGTTGTCCGACGATTACGGTAGGAAGAGCAAATTGGAATTCGTCGTATACCCGGCGCCGCAGGTGAGTTTCGGGATATTCACTTCCGCATTTTACACGTTAGACATTTCTCTTCCTCCTTCCGATCTTTTACATTTCCCGCAAACAATCAAATCGAAACAAGGTAATAGAGGAACTAAGTTAATTTACTCAAATCGCTATTTTCATTATAATAACTACTTCACCTGAAATAAGACGAAAGAGAAACAAATTCACTATTTATCCTATCACTAATCGTTTGCTCTGATAATTAACGTATAATTGTTTTTTTACTATAATAATTGAAATATTTTCACTTCCGTTTTTACCAAGAGCACGTTGAAACGAACTGTGCTTTCCTTTCAGGTGTCTACCGCCGTGGTGGAGCCGTACAACGCGGTGCTGACGACTCACACGACGATCGGCCATTCCGATTGTGCCTTCATGGTGGACAACGAGGCGATCTACGACATTTGTCGGCGGAAACTCGGCATCGAGCGGCCGCTTTACGCGAACCTGAACCGACTGATCAGTCAAGTGGTCTCCTCCATCACAGCGTCTCTGCGATTCGACGGTGCCCTGAACGTCGATCTGACCGAGTTCCAGACGAACCTGGTGCCCTACCCCCGCATACACTTTCCATTGGCGACCTACGCCCCGATGGTGTCCGTCGACAAGGCCTGGCACGAGGGCATGTCGGTCGCGGAGATCACCTCCGAGTGCTTCGAGCCTTCCAATCAGATGGTCAAGTGCGACCCCCGGGAGGGCAAATACATGGCTTGCTGCCTCTTGTACCGCGGCGACGTCGTGCCCAAGGACGTCAACGCCGCGATCGCGGCCATGAAGGGCAAAAGCTGCATCCGCTTCGTCGACTGGTGTCCCACGGGCTTCAAAGTTGGGATCAATTATCAGCCGCCCACATCGGTGCCAGGCGGCGATCTCGCGAAGGTATCTCTCGTTGTCCGGTTGTCTCAACACTCAAATTCGTATTGACAGTCTCGTCTCGTTACTTGAAACTTCTCCCACACGCGTGAAACACGTGAAAATGTCAGACATGAAGATTGAGTTGGATTTCTTCGGTTTTTTATTCAAATTCAAATTTATATTTAGATTTGAATAACATATATACGTGACACTGAATTTATGAACGCGATTCAGCCGAAAAACTTACATTTCAGTGCCGCATAAATGGAATTCGAGGAGTATTTTATTCCAAAAAAAAAAAAACGTCGCGAAAATAGATTCCAACTTTTTTTTTTCTTTTCATGTAGATACACGTCTACATATTTATATAATTCCATTCGATTAGTATCTGAAATTGGTGAGGTGATCGACCGGACGTATCTTCAATTACGTCTCGGTTATCACAATTAAAATTCCCGGTTTAATTTATGATCTAATTTATACGAAACATTCGTTCATTTATAATGCACTGATTGCACTCGCAGGTCCAGCGAGCTGTTTCCATGCTGTCTAACACAACTGCCATTGAGGAAGCGTGGGCCAAGCTTAATCACAAGTTCGATCTGATGTACAACAAACGGGCCTTCGTCCACTGGTATGTGGGCGAAGGTATGGAGGAGCTCGAATTCGCGGAGGCGCGCGAGGATCTCGCCGCGCTCGAGAGGGATTACGAGGAAGTTGCTCTGGAATCGCCGTCCACGCCGGACATCACGTCGGAATATTGAGTATTTTCGTGGAAAGAATCTCCAATGAGCCGGCATACCTTCGCTACCCGACAAAATTCGACGAAAATTCGCACAAAAGAGAAAAAGTCATATACTACTTAGTTAAATTTCGTGTGGAAAAATATTTTATGTTTATTCTCGTATAATTGTCATACTTTTGTAAGAAGGCGTTTTTTTTTCTCTCTCTCTCTCTCTCTCCCATTGTAAGAGTCCCTCTTTGTGATAAATATACAAATACATAAATCGATTGGCACATCGCGTCTACAATACGAATGTTCGATTCTACGCGGAGAAAAGCGCGTACATGTGTGGGAGGAACGCGAACGACGCTCGTCGTCTGTTTTTGTATCGAAAATTTCACTGGATCATCAAAATAACATATATATATTTGTGTGTGTAACATATACAATCATCTGCCCTTCCACATTGGATCTTCTCTCCTTCTCATTTCTTATCTTTCCTCTTAGCTGCTTAGATCGCCATAAAAACGATATCAACGAAATCTCTTTTATACCTATGTACATCGGATTGATTGCACTCGGAGCAACAATAATAGCGATTATACACGGAGGAAATTATGAGCTGAAGTTTGAGGGAACGCAATATATATATATATATATATATATATATATATAT